TGAGCACCAAGTTTCTGCTGTAGTTCTTCCATGAAGAAGCTACCATAAAAGAGTGCCTCCATGTTTTTTCCAAGCAAGTTTATGCTGAAGAGTACAATCTGAAAATTTTTTATTAAGTAGTAACTCTGACTGAATGCAGTGGAGTTTTGCTCTGAATAAACAGAAATAGGATTATGCTGTTAATTACATTCAATACATTCCTGAGGAATTCAAGGTTTACAGTGACCTAATGAGTTTTCTGACATCATTTTTTGGAACCACATTCTAGTAGCAAACTGGTATTCTTCAAAATATCAAAATCAATTGGTGGTTGAGCAATAAAAATACAATTATTAGCTTTAGGCTACACTGATAGGCTTGTAGGTAATCCTGTAGTCGGCTGCTGCATCACAGTGAAATATAAAATAAATTCTAAATGCGTATTTATTTGGAAAGAAGGCCAGAGCAAGTTCAGTGGGATTTCTGACAGTACATGTACCTGGGTTTTCATTTACATGCAAAAATTCAGTTTTGTTTCTGGGCAGTCTGCTTGTATTACAAAGTGCATGAATGGGATGAAAAAGCATGCCTGCAATGATGATGTCAGTAGTTTGCAATTTTAGCATTCTACTCTGGCTTTTCAAAAACATTTTTTTGCATAACAAAAAGTAAATGACAAATGTTACAAACGGTAACTTATAGCAGTGGTCCAAACTGGCTGGCTTTTTTTTTTTTGTTTGTTAACAGCTTTCTTCAACTGGTACTTTCCAGATATGTTAGAATATATCATTCCAAAAGTTCTCAGTCTAGATGGCCTCAGCTGGCTGGGCTGATGGGAACGGTGGACCACATCAGTGCCAGGCTTAGCCAGGTTGAGTTAGCTTTACACCATGGCTCAGCAATGCTCCAAACATTCTTTAATCTGTTGCATGAAAGAAAAACAAGTTGTTCACAAATAAGAGATGACAACACTTGATTTAAGACTATTATAGTTCCTGCCATTACCTTCTTCTGGATTTGATTTTAAAATTCCTCCTTCTTGGTGGATTTGGTCCTGGAGAAAATCTATGCAGGCGCTAGGAATCGACAATGACTTGATGGCACATAATCAATCAATCAGTGGCGGACTAGCTTTGCCCATCCTCACTCGTTTTGGGGATTATCCTTAGTTTTTAGCTTTATGTGTCCACTTTCAACCTTATCAAGCAAGGATGATCATATTGGAAGCTCATTATTCCCCCCCTTCTCCCGGACCTGGTCATTCTCAGGTTCACTGGAGCTGCTGAGCCCTTCCAAGTGGTAAGCTCTTGAGAAAAGTTCAACAAGCTTCCTGACAGCATATTTGGTAAGACTGGTACTATGACTTTCAGTATTCAAAGATTTTCCAATAAATTGTTAGAAGACCCCAAAATCAAGAGGATGTGGAAAAATATCCAGAGAAATTTCTGTGATGGTGCTTTTTGTGTGTCTGTGTGCACTGAAGAAAATTTATAAGTTGATCTGAATATTTGATGCACTGAAAAGCTGGTGGGGAGTAGTGATTATAGTGTTGGACATCAATGATTCCAAATGTTGACAATTCCTGAGCTAAAATGATTGCATGCCTGTAAAGCAAGGAATGGTTGAGCATCTCAGTGTCTCCAATATCATAGCTCACTTTTCAGTGTATTCCATCATATTTTACCAAGCTAAGCCATTATTTTTCTTTCTTGCTGCTAGAATATTGTCATATACTATGAGAGAAATTAGAAAATGAATGTGATTAAATGGAGTTAAAGCAACTGCAGCAATCTTTTGAAACAATAAAAAAAAATTATCATCATTGCAGGACATGTAATTTGAAGCAGCTGAGTCAAGCCTCCAGGAGCATTTAAAATTAATGCTCACCCACTATGCTTATAAGTAGGTGAGCTAAAAGCAACAGCTTGCTTCAAACTACATCACACTTTGTCCCTGAACCTTAAAAAGAATGGAAACTGGATCATACTTTGAAGTCACATATTGTTTTTTACAAATATAAACAGCTGGTAACTTAAAGAAAAATCAGTAACATGTGAGTTTGAACAAATGGTCAGAATGTGTTGAACTAGAAGCTTCATCATATGGCTGTAGAAACTAGTGAGTAAAACTAAAATGAATATAAATAAATATAACAAATTTGCTGAATTTTTCATTTTTACCATTTAAATGTTTGCATCAGAAATGTTAAACTGACTTTTAATTTGTGTTTTGAATTAGAAGCTAATGTTAATGCACATTATATGTGATCTATCAGATCTATTAATATTAAAATTACACTTTAACTGTAAAATTATACTTAATGCTAAGAACTGTCATTGCTTTATTCCTTGGAAAATAGGTTCCAGCATGCAAGGCTGACTGGAATCAGTACGGTCCAGAGTAGGAGTTCTACTTCAAAACATATAGAAGTTACCACTTACTTTGTGCTAAGAGAGGTATGTTCTGCCAGGATTTACCCCATAGCTTATTAGAGTAGCTGATTCTGCATTTCATATCACAAAGGAGAGCCCAAATGCAGTAATTAGGGTGTTGGAACAGGACAGTAAAAACTCAGATTAAAATCCACCCCCAGTGTTGGAACAACTTGGTTACTGTTCTGAAGAAATTTGAGGGATGAACGTATTCAAGAAGTTTTGTTTCATGTTACAATCCTGCCAATAATGAAAATATATTTTGGCTAGTCCATTTTAATCTAGACAAACAGAAACATGGAATTAATGTTACACAGTAATTTGGGGTTAGTAATCAAGCTCAGAGAAAAGAAAATCAATATAAGATTGGACAACAGTTTTTCCTGTTAGTGCAACACAAATTATGTAAATTATGTATCAGTGTAAAGCTATGCACCTTCCCACAAAATGATTTTTTGCTTTCCAGAGGGTTCCTGGTAGACAAATTTGCAATAATATCCTGAGGTTAGAAGGATATAAGTCTGTATTGCATTAGATATGGTTGTACTGAAAACCTGGAGAAAGATGACATACTTTTGTATTCACCCATGAATAGGAATGATTTATGAGTTTCATCTTAGGAATGAATTGTGGGAGAATGTGTGTGAATGAAAACTGCTATGCAAGAAAATTCCAAATGTGAGCTTTATAAAATGCTTTAGGAATGGAACAGTGGGTTCTTTGTTGCATACATATTGATTAACAATGGAAAATTGAGTTACATTTGATAGGGCCAGCTACCTTTGCCAAAGAAAATATACCAAGAATTGTTATTCTCTGAACAGTGTGCTCTTAAATTTACATTATGGAGCCATATCATAAATATGCTTACTTAGAAATACATTTGCATTCAAATTCAAGTTTTATATCCAATCCTGTAATCCTATCCACTTTCTCAATAACCATGCATTTACTGTAAACATGTGTAAAATCTCCTATGACATGCATCACAAGATTATAATTTGTGGCTTCACAAATGTTACTAAACTTAAACTTACTAAAACTTTATAATTATAAATTGGCAATGGTAATGGCTGTTGGGAATTGTAATGCACAGAGTTCCACTGTGTATTACAGTAATGTTATTTGTGGATCTTTTCTCAGGCATAATATTCATTTAATTCTGTGGCATCTTGCCAATTATATGAAATTAAGGTTTAAAACCTTAAATGCATAAGACTTTAAAAGTCACAGCTATTTTTGAAAGTTCAGTTCAGGATACAAGAAAATTGCTAGGTCTGTGCACCCCCTTTTCCTAGATTAACCCGTGTAAAAATAGAGCATGGTCCACATATACTTTGTTCAAAGAATGGAAAAAGTAATATAATACATTTTCATAGAAATAAACATTTTCATGAAAATCTATTGTTTGCATTTTTAGCTCTATTATGTTTAGAAACGTACACTTCTCTGACAATACTCTGAAATTTCTTAATCTCTGAAGCACGTTGCATTATATTCACTCTATTAAGTTAACATGGTATATGTTAATGTTATGTGGATTTTGAACTGGAATGCAACTAATAAATAACATCTTCAACAAAATGTACACCTATGCATGTTTTTTACCTGGCTTACATATTCTATGAATTTGAAATGTAGGAATGGACTGCTTGTAAAAAAAATAAGCTTAATAAGCTAAGTCAAATGATAATGATAATAATGATACGTTAAATCTAAATTATTAGCTGGTGCAGCATTTTGCAGGTGTAGGCAACCCTATTGCATGTGGCCTCTCAGCATCTCTTGCCACTCCCACTTGGGACTTGCAGAGATTAAGGGCAAAAAATGGCTTCTTTAAACCTTGTAAAAGCTTAAAGTATCAATTACAAAGCAAATCCCAAACTCTAGAAAATGCTGGGGGGGGGGGATTACGCAGTAAAATGATGCCTTAGACTTCTACAAATAAATCCCCAAATAGACCAACAATGTTGTCCATAATCATTCCCGTGACATCTGCAACTCTGAGAAGTTGTAGAAGTATGCCTCTATGTCTAGAATAACTTTGTGTCTTAAAAGTAAATCCAACATAGAATTTCAATCAGATTGAAACCATTCCTAGATTACAGTTCAGTACATAGATTTGTACCACATCTAAAATTGGGGGTTCTCTCTCCATAAAGTCTATATTTCAATCTTATATAGGACTTATTAAATTAGAATAGACTTTTGAATACAATAGAATGAGGTAGAATGATCAGAATTTATTGTAGTTTACCATTTTCTTTTACAGCTGATGGGAATAGACAACATTATAAGAAAAGCCTATTTAAATGATATGAGGAGATCCATTATCAAAATCAGAGGAGAAGATGGATGGAGAAACATATCCATATCAGAATATATCTTCATGGAAAACTGGCTGAGCCACCACCGTCACAGGGAAAATGGACCTTACATCCAGAGATTTTTTACAAAGGCTTAGCAAGATGGGGATGCCTCTTTGTTAACTTGTTCACAACAGCATACAACAAGTGAAGGACATCACCGTATGGAGTCATGACTGAAAGGCACGAGTACCTTTTTCAGCACTATCCAAGATAGCGTACAAGATAAGGTACTCAAGTCATGGGTGATTCTAATCATCTCATCCTGGACCAGTGAACTGTGGTTCTCTACCCTAGTGTACTGTAGGTAAGAAGACACCTGCGGAACCTCCCCAAATACCTGGATATCCTGTCTCAAAGTCTGCATCTAGATATTGAATTGAGCATTTCTTGAACACAGATGTTTCAGATTCAGCAGTAGAGGCCAGGCTCTATCAGTTGACTTGATATGCTTTTGGACAGGAATGCAAAAAGCAGACATTTTTGGCATCAGCAACAGGAGTCCCCGAACTATTGGGCTTCTTGCCTGCCTGCATGGTCATCCAGCTGCTTTAGAACTCATGCTGCTTGAAAGCCAAGAGGCACTGCACTTTTTTTCCACCTGATTCTATTGTTCCCTACATGGATTTATTATTGGCACTCAGGAAACTAATGACTGCCCCCTTCAATCCCATCTGACAGATTCCCATTAACATTCTTTCCTAGAAGATTGCTTTCTTGATAGTCCTACAGAGCAACTAAGGGTTGGGGATCTAAGGATGTTCTTGGGGGATAGATGTTGCACTAAAACCATGTAGTCTAGAGCCAGATCCCCACATTATATCCAGGGCAATTCCAAATCCCATTGATCCTAAGAAATTGTGCGTCACACTGATAACTATTTTAAGATATTGCAATCAGTCAGGAGGGTAGAGCCATTGTGAAATAAGATTCTCAAAAGATTTTTTCTTCATCTTAATTAATATTCAGATTTTGCAATCTAAACAAATTATTACCTCTCCCCTGGAAAAAATATTTTGTGCTTTCCTCTTCTTAAAAAATAAGCATTTAATAGCAAAGCAAGAAGGGATAAATCTGGTTTTATTCTTTTCCTGTATTTATCCCAGAGAGTCAATACATAGCTTATTATTGCATGAACTTTTATAAATTGTTTGGGTTTTTTGCCTCAAATCAGAAATATTTGTGCAAATCATCTGAAAATCCTGCTCTTCTGTAGAAGTGGCTAGGCCATGAGGAGATACAATCCACTCGGTAATCCATGTTGAACAACTGGCATGGTAATACAGTTTAAAATTAGGAACAACCAGTTCACCACACCCTTCTGAATCCTATAGAATCTTTAATTTAATCCTTGGTCTTTTATTGGACCATATATAGCTTATTAATTGTTTATGTCAGTAATTTAATACCTTGTTTTCAATATGTATTGGGATCATTAGGAACATAGAGTTAGGTTTTGGTAAAATATTTATTTTAATGGATTCAAATCTTCCTAGATAAGACAATTTTTCTTTTTTCTTTTTTTCCATCTGGAAATGTCTGCTGTTACATTTTTTCAGATCTGCAAATAATTATTTTTAAATAAGTCATTACTGGTTTTTGTGAAATTTCAATTGTGAAATTTCCTAAAGAAATTATTTTTGTTGCAATAATCTCAACCCCTGTTATTAGGCATTGCTTTTCTTTCTCTGATAAGTTCCATGCCAACATTTGGGTTTTAATTTTATTAATCTGGTAACCTGACGAAGAATTCTACTGCTGTATATATTCCATTAACAGTACTAAAGAATCTTTTGGCTGGTTAATGTGAGTACATCAACAGTATATAATTTCCATTTGTGTTCTTGAATTGCTAGTTTATCTTCTGAAATTATATTTTCTTGACATATTTTCATTGCCAATGGCTCTAATGCCAATAAAGAAGATGCACTGTTATAATAGGGATCCATTTACTGTCATCTTGGCTTTGTGTTATTTATAATTACTCTGCATTCATGTGAAAAAAAGTAGGGCCACAATGTATCATTTTCAAAATTGCTGGCATAGACGACCATTCTAAATTATCAAAAGCTTTTTCTGCATCAAGAAAAATCATAGCCATTTTCATGCTTCTCTGGTTTATCTTGTTGATAACACATAAATACACCTGATATTGTCTCTCATATATTTCTTTGGAACAGATCAAATCTGATTAGGGTATATAAATTGAGTTAAAAATTGATTTATCATCTTTGTATTGCTGTAAAAATCTTATAATCTATATTCAATTAAGAAAAAGGTCTGTATGATTCTGGATAGGTCCAGTGATTTCCTTCTTTATAAATCAGAGATAAAGGCTTCTTTCCATGACAGAAGTTCTTCATATCATTATTTGAGCTACAGGTTTTACCATAATTTCTTGGAGAGTCTTATAATAAGTAAATGTTTGATTCTGCTCAGTATGTTTTTAATTATAGTAATCAAATTGGTACTTTGGTATTCAGGAAATCTGTACATCACTACCTGGGTCTTCAGTGAGATGCTCAGGAGCCATACTGTTCCCATCAAACCATTCCTTGGTATGTGCCAAGTTCCCAGGCCGTATCTATTTTGTTGTTGTTGTTTAGATTCTTCTAATAATTAAAAAGTGAATGGAATGCTAGCATGCTGGAAAAAGTATGAGCCTTCAGCATATTGTAATTTGTATTTTCAATAATGTCTTAGCCCCTTATAGACTTCAAAAAAACCTTCATGCAAGTAGTGGATGAATACAGCCGAGTTTTACTTGCTTTCTGATACACAGACCTTCTGTCTCTTGCTGAACTCATTATGAAGCCATTTTGTGAGATTGCCTAACATATTCTCAGTATTTATATTATTATGCATATAATTTTATGTTGATTTTAATCTTATTAGTGCTTGGAGGCCTGTAGGCCACTTGGAATCAGATATGATAAGAGTGACAAGCAAGCCTAATACAAGAAATAAATGAGTAAGAGCAGAGATATAAGCTTTATTGTGCCAAGCACAAGGGAGTAATAAAGTAAGACACACTACTGATTAAATTGCAATTATCTCAGCAGATACAAGACCATTCCACAGAAAGGGTGTTCTTGTATCTCTTTTCACTCACCATTGTTAATGTAAATTTTCTTTTATGTGCAGCAGAGATGGTGCTGTAGAAACCTGGCCTAAAACCAGCTTGTTCAATACTACGTGTTTTTTTTTTTGGTATCTTCTAATCCATTACTTTCACATAAAGAAGCTTAGTATATAGTTTATTTATTGTCCTGGATATCATTAGACCATCTTATTTCTCTCTCATCCTTTTCTCGCCACTGTTCTGTTGGTGGAATAAAGGGTGATCTGGTGGGTTTCTATCTGGTTGGGCCTGGGGAGGTTGGATGATGCCACATCACTTTTCTATCCTGGAGCTGGCTGCTGAAGAATCACTACTGCTGGCAGCATCTTGCCCCCACAGCCTCTTTCTCATGGCTTTCTTTCTTACCCATGCAGCTGCTTGAAAAGCTCTTAATCTTTCTGCTCCAATCGGGGGGGGGGGCAGTGCACCAGAAGCTCTAGCTGTTTTGAGCTCTGCTGTTGCTTACCTCCTTCCAGTTAGCTGATCAGACTCTTCCCCTGGTCCTTTGGCTGCTCTCTTAGCATATCCACTTAGCCCTTTTGATTTTGGCCTCCCAACAGCATGCCAATCAGCTGGCACAGAATGCCAGGACACATTTTCATGCAGTTGTTGATCGTCTTTCTTCGTTTCTTGGCTCCCAAAATAGACCTGACGGGAAAGCTGAAAGCAGGGTGTAGGAGTGAAGGGAGAGATTTTCTTCCACAAATATGTAGTCCTAAGCCCTGACTGCTAACAGAAGAGGCACTGTTAACTCTTTCCTGTCAGCTCCATCTCTTATCTCCAGTGATTGAGAATACAACCATTTTATTGCACTCTTGTTATACAATGCATTTCAGACATAGCATAAAACATCCACAGAGTAACAGACTGAAATGCTATATTTCATATGCTGACAGCAGCAAGAATCACAACACTGGAAAGGAGAAACAACACAAGGTTAGAAGACCAAAATCTACGGCAATGGAAAAAATGATTGTATATATTCGTAACTGATGTCTAACCAAAGTCAAGCAGGCTCCCTCATATACAACATACTGCACAACAAGGCAAGATCTTAATGTAAGTTTTATAAAAAAAAAACCTTTAGTTTAAAAACTAAATTGAAAATTAATTAAACAGAAAAACTAATTAAACAGATCTAAATAGAAATGAGTTACAAGTGTAGAAGTTTAAAGCCTAGTATAAAAATACTTAAGTACCAGTTAGAAGTTGGGGGGGAAGAAAAGAATAAAGGGGGGGGGGGCTGCTTGAATGTTTTTTCTTATAGACACACATTTTCCCATTTTTTAATTTTCTTAATCGTACTAAATCTCATCTTTTGAATTCTCATTTCAGCCCTCACTTGTGTAAACCATATGCAACATTATTTTTTTAAAAGTTCAATAACATAGATGAGTTAGAGATTCTACTATGTATGTAATTATATGTATGTATTCTATTATTTTCCCTTTCTTTCTTTTTACTTAAAAATTATGTAAAAGAAAAAAATACTGTATTTCAATTCTAAATGGGTAGCGATTTTAGTCTGTCATAGTACAGATTTACAGTACATTAATAATGTTCATATTTCTTATGGTATAAGCTTCTATGGACTCAATGTATTTGATAAAGCAGACAGTACAAAACACTTACATTTTAATAAAATTGTTTCCCATTTTCATTTTGTGCTTTCTAGAAATCAAATAGTAGGTGGACATAAATAGTTTGGCAATGAGAAGATGAACAGTGTTCAAAAGTGAGTGATTTCTTAGTGTTATGATTCTTAGTCATCTTTATTCTCTTGACTAAATAGAAAATAAATTTAACTGTGAGCCATTGTAGTACATAAATCACATGAAACGTTTAAAATCAGCTTTACAACAAATGTAGGTAACCTATCATGGTATCTATAAAATCAAATCATAAACTTAAAGTTTCCCATACATCCTATTGCCAAGCACTGATATGCAGACATTCCGTTCCCTCACAAATATTTCTTACATAATCAAACTCTAATATGTATGAAGTGATGGTAGCTGGTAAAAACAGTTTTTAAGAAGAAAATATATGTTACAGCATTAAAAACAATTGTTTTATTGAAGCTGTTTTTAAAAAATCATGTGAGGCAATATAACAATAAGATCACAACTGGAAAGCAAGAACTGGCTTTAAAAATAGACACATTTAAACAAGAAAAACATTTTACAAAAAAAAGAAACACAGAGAACACATTTTCAAGCTACAGATATAAAACAGATATTTTATAAAAGAATACAACACCACATGTACATACAGAGGACACCAAAGAAGTTAATGTCATCAAATGGTCTAATAAGTATGTTAAAGTAGCTTTTGAACAGTGACTGCATATTTTAGATGTATACAGTTGCCCGATGTTGGTTAAAATATTTTACACATTTTCTTAATGGACTGACAGTTGTCCTCCACTTAGCCATGAGTAGTATCATCTTCCACAAAGTCTTTGGCCATCTCTGCAGTGATCACATCAATATGGCTTACCTACATAAGAAAAAAGAAGGTATGGAAATTATTGTAATATCCAATTATGACATTGGACATTACAACATCATATTGCAATGTCCAATATCATAATCTGACATTACAATAATTGCCTATTAAGCATAGTTCATTTAAAATGCAAACTAATAATAGTGTAATGAATAATTCATAGTTAGTTGCCAGATTCCTTGCATCTACAATTCTGAATTCTGCACAAATAATAAAAAGCTTAATATGTGATAAAGCCCTTGTTATAAAAAATATACATGTACATGGCTGAAGTATGAGAGGCTTTGCAATAATCATGGGACCATATTTTCTGACACAATATATGTGCTGTAGTTTTGATATTATCATGATTTGTTACAGATCATGCTCTTTTAGTATGCTGTATACTGTAAACTGTCTAGAAGAAAGGGTGCACGTACGTGATCTAAATGTACCACCATACTGAAATGTATGATGAATTTTTAGGATATCTCATCAATTCCTTTGTTCTTAAGGTAATTAAACCAAGCTGAAATCTAAGCAAATTTTAGTCCTCGAATCAAGAGAAATTGATAAGAGACCACAAACACTTAATTTGAGACCAAATAAAACACACACTATTACCTAAATGTTATTTTTAACTTTAACCAGCATCCAATAATACTCATACTGTAAATTTTAAGCTGCATACCTTATTTCTGAATTTTACGCCATAGAATTTATCAGCAGATTCAAGCAGCTCAGGTCTGAATGTTGTGGTGATGAACTGAGCATGTTCTGCTAATTCCATGATCATATCTGAAATGTTAAAATACAGCACCTGTTAGTACATAATCTGAAACTTTAACACAAAATGAAACATCTGCAATAATAATATGGAATTTATTCCCACCTAAAGCTTAGTTACTTTCTGAACCAACAGCTGGTTCCCATATGACCCAAGAAGCAATGCTAGCAGTAGGATATAAAGTTGCATGTCACATCATCTCTTTTAAGTAAGACCTTATCAATTTGTGATTTGGTACTTTATATGACTTGGCTGTATAAAAATACACATTCAGCAGTCTGGCCATGGTTAGAGTTTCTTCACAAATTACTAAGTTAAATGTCAAAAGTAAGATAAGATACTTGTGCGTTTTATGATGTGCCAGAGAGAAAGGGGATAATTCAGATCTAAGATCTGACTTTAGAACTCCATGTTGTAGTGATGACTCCAAACATTTTGTACTCAAAAAAGGAAAAAGAACAAAAAAGAAAAGAAAACCCTGCATCCTTTCTACTGAAGCAAGATCTAGACATTGTAATTTATACTTTTCTAATATATACTACAAGGCATGAAATGTTGCTGACTCTTTAAAAACACTAATTGATACAGAATCTGGTAGTAATCTGTGAGCACCATCTTCTAGTACTCTGCCATTTCAAATGACTCCTATAAAGACATAAAGATACTGGTAATTTATTTCAGGATTTGTAATCAATGAAACAAAGAATAAATGCAGAATATTTTTTTATTTTTTATTTTTGCACATTTGTACACTATATGTTCTTTATATGTACTATACACTAATGTTGTACACTAACATTTTAATCTTCATGTGACTGAAAATGACCAACAAACCAGATTTTAAAAAATCTTATACGACTTTGCTTCCAACAAAGATCTCCTGTTGCTTATACTGTCCTTCCTATCAACTATACCCATGCATATTTGAATTGGGCACATATGAAGATCCTCTGGAAGTAACAAGTATCATCCTTAAGTGATACTGTAAAGTTTACAACCCTTATCAAGAAAAATATTGAAGCATTTTATAACTGAGCTCCTGGAGGACAACTATAAACTTCATATATACAGTCAACACATTAACAAGTTACATGAATTATATTCAAGAAGTAGCCCCAAGAAATGTTACTAGAAGCTTCCTAGTCAAATGGTATCAGCTATCTTTACACAGTCCACTCTAGCAGAGATTACATAATGCATGGACACTGCCATTCTGCCATTGGCTTCAAGATTTTGTGCCAAATACTTTTATTTAAAAATGATGCTTCAATTTTTTTTAAAAGTGAAATAAGCTAGCAAGACAGACAGACTGAGCATACATCTTAATCCCCCCTGCCCTGAAAGCAGATATTAGTGAAAGGTCTATTCAATACCACATACTGGTTTTGTTTCAGTAAAACAAAATAACAGAAAAATGGATAGAAAGGAGCAAGTACACACCCCATTTGCATTTGCAGTGATCTGCAAGTGTGTGTATCTGTACCTGAAACAGCCTTTCTGTGTTGGGCATCCAGGGCTTGATCAATTTCATCAAAGAGATAAAATGGAGCAGGATCACATTTCTGGATAGCAAAAATCAAAGCTAGAGCCACTAATGACTTCTGTCCACCAGAAAGCTGCTGCATTTCTCTCATTTCACCTTGTTTACCAGTAAATGACACCTGAAAAAAACAGCAGAAAAGCTAGTTTATTTATTATTTATATTTACTGTAGCTGCCCAACTCTAGTTGGCAGCTACAATACAACCCTGCTCCCCAAATCCATAAAAACAGATAAAACCTAAAACCACGGATTAAAATGATCTAAAAACAACACAAATCAAACAAAACAGCCCCCCAAAATACATTAACCCCACACCTGGGACGAAAGCCAGGTTTTAAGAGCTTTGCAAGAGGACTGTCAGAATCCTCACAAGATTTAATAGTAGATTGTTATGTTGGCTTGTTTAGCAATTGCTTTTTACATGCTGCGGTTCTGCCATTGTAAAAGGGGGGGGGAGAAGGAATGGGGAACCGTTAGAAGCAGATGGCTCCTTATCACAAGCACTGGTATGCACAAGGTCGTACCAGCAAGAGAATCAGGAGACCAGGAGGTAACGGGGGTGAAGGAGGGAAAAGTAAGAAAAACAACTTTTGGTGTGCTCAGGCTCAGTCTTAGC